CGGGCCGCGGCGCGCGGCGGCGGCCGCCGCCGCGGACCGGTCGCGGATGGCCGCGAGCCGCGACGCCAGGGACGCGCCGGGCGCCGCCTCGGCCTCGGTCTGGGCGCCGCGGTCCACGGCGCGCCCCGCGCCCGCTCGCCGCAGCACCGCCGCGAGCACGGGCTCGCCGTCGCGTAGATCCGCGGCGCCGACGGACGCCGCCAAAGCCGCGCGGTCCGCGAGAAACTCGCGCCGGCCCGCGCGGCTCTCGGGCAGGAAGACGGCGTAGCTGTTGGGGCAGTCCAGGGACTCGAGCGCCTCGGCGACGAGGCTCACGAGGATCTTGTCCCAGGCGCCGCGCGGCGGCGGCCCGTCGACGAACTCCTCGGCGATGTCGCGCCGCAGGCGCGCCTTGAGGCCCAGGAGCGCGCCCCGGTCCACGAGGTGGGCGCGCATGCTCGCCGCCAGCTCCTCGGCGCTCATGCCGGGCGACGCGAGCATCGTTGCGTGTGTTGTTTAGTGCATGTGTCGAGGGCAGCCAAGTGGGCAGCCCATCCGAAGGTTATTTTTGAATCGCACGATCGAACGCCCGGGGGTCCGCCGCCCAGCCCGGCGTCCCCCACTTCGTCCCCCGCGAACCGGAGGTCCCGCGCCGCGGCCTTAGGCGGACGGATCCCCCTAGTAGCCCCGCGGCTTGCGGCCGAAGAGCTTCGTGAGCGGGTGGCGCGCCTTGAGCGCCATGCCGTACTTCGTCTCGTGGATGATGGCCGCGGCCTCGACGCCGAGGTGCGCGCGCCACGCGACGAGCGCCAGACCCGCGCAGTAGGCGCCGAGGGCGAGCTTCGCGGCCTCGTTGGGGAACTTGGGCCCGCACTCGCCGCCGGCGAACTTCGTGATGGCCCGCCACGCCAAACCCGCGAGCGCCGCGCCGCACAGACCGCCGGCCCAGAAGGCCACGTAGTGGGGGCTCCCGTCCTCGAGGGGCGGCCAGGCGCCGGACGCGGCGAAGGCGTAGGACGACGCCAGCGCCGGGTTGACGGCGGGCCCCGTGGCGCCGTGGCCCAGAATGACGCACCGTAGGACGACGTTGATGCACGCCATCTTCACCAAGTAGTTGTCGCCCTCCTGGAAGAACTTGGTCGTCGCGAAGGCGAAGACGGCCAGGGCCAGCGCGCAGGCGCCCAAACACTCGGACCAGAAGACGTAGAAGAGCGGCAGGTGCGCGTCCGGCGCCGGCCCTCCCACCGCGCCCGTCAGGAAGCTTTCCCCCCCGAAGAGGAGCCGCCAGCCGACGACGCCGCCCCCGACCTGCGCCATGATGCGCACCAAAGCCTCCACGGCGGACCCGCCCCGGGCGACGAGCATGGCCACGGTGATGACGGGGTTCACCTGCGGGCCGCCGCAACTGTAGTCCGCGGCGACCATGGCGACCCAATGCGCGCCGTACTCGTAGGCCCTGCCCAGGTGGCCGACGGCCGCGCCGGGGCAGCAGGTCAGCGCGACCATGACCGCCGTGCCCACGAACTCCTGGAGCCAGGTCCGCGCGAGCTCGCCGCCGCCGGCCTCGTCGCCGCCGCAGAGCTCCGTCGCCAACAGGGCCGGCAGGGCCGACGCGAGCAGGCTCACGCCCATCTTCGCGACGGCCGACGCCGTGTGCGCGTAGACGCAGGCCGAGAAGGCCGCGACGTAGCACGCCGTGCCCAGCGCGAAGGCCCGTTCCCAGTTGCCCATCGTGGTTGGATCGCGAGCTTTTTGACACAAGGCGAAATCGTCACTGCAAGTTGACAAAGTTGCCGTAAGCACAAGCCCATACACCGGCTCCGCAACGATGCACCTGTAACGCAGCCCCCCCCGCCATGTCGAAGCGGAAGAACAAGAAGAGCCAGCAGGCCGAGGTCGTCGAGGAGGAGAAGCTGCTCTACAACGCGCCGAAGGTCGAGAAGGTCATCTCCGACAGCCCGGGCCTCGAGGACGACGAGCACCCGGAGCTGTCGCCCGAGGAGCTCGAGCGCGCGACGCTGGCCTTCCACACGAAGCAGGACCCCGGCGGGCGCATCACGCGGGAGCATCTCAAGGGCCTCTTCGTCGAGATGCGCCTCAAGTTCGAGGGCGACCAGTACCAGCGGCTCGTGGAAACGCCGCACCTGGGCGCCGTATCCTTCGACGCGAGCGACAAGTGCGACCTCGACGCCTGGCTCGCCCTCTTCGCCCGGGTCTACGCGCCGGCGACGCGCTACGGCGCGCGGCTCCGGCGCGCGGCCGGGCGGGGCGAGGTCGACCGCATGCGGGACTACGCGGCGCGGGGATGCGACGCGCGCGGCTCCGACGGCCTCGGCTTCACGGCGCTCCACTGCGCGGCGCAGCACGACCAGGGCGACGCGCTGGCCGTGCTGCTGAGCGAGCTCCTGGGCCACGGCGCCGTCGACGTCCGCGACAAGAGCGGCTGGACGCCGCTGCTCTGCGCGGCGGCGAACGGGGCAGGAAAAGGGTGATTCAACGTCGCTTCAACTTGAGTGTTCCGCGCGCGCGCGTTCCGAAAAAAGCATCCACGCTTCGAGACCGTTCCGAGAGATGATCGCTCGTCCAAAAATCAGCCGAAACGAGTGGAAACCGGCCGAGCTAGGAGCCTTTGAAGTTGGGAATTTCGCACTCTTGTCCTGCCCAGGCGGCGAACGGCCGGGCCAAGATCTGCGAGAAATTGGTCGAGGCCGGCGCGGACGTCGCGGCGACGTCGGTCCACGGCCGCACGGCGCTCCACTGGGCCGCCGCCAAGGGCCGCGCGGACTGCGCCAAGTTCCTGCTCAAGAAGGGCGCGGACCCGAATTCGGCCGACGGCGCGGGCATGACGCCCGTGCACCTCGCGGCGCAGCACGGCCACCTCGCCACGTGCACCGTGCTTTTAGGCGCGTCGGACACGGCGCTCGGCGCGCCCAACACCATCGGCGTCAAGCCGACGGACTACCAGGACGTCGTCTTCTGGTCCCGCGTCAACGACGCGCTCCCGGGCGCGGCCCTCAAGTAGTACTTAAGGTCGCGAAGGTCGCCCCTGGGCATTCTACAGGGCCCGGAGCGGCGCCTCCGGCGTCGCCGCCGCGGGGCGGCGCGTCAGCTGCGCGGGCAGGGCCCGGCCGGGCGCCTCCGGCGTCGGCGGCGGCGCGTCCGGCGGCGGCGCGAACGCGTCCGCGAGCCGGGGCCGCGGCGGCGCCGCGGCCGGGGGCGCCTCGAGCGTGTCGCCGTCCGCGGCGAGCGCGGCGTGCGCGAGGAGCAGCGCGGCGACGCGGTCCCGCTCGGCCGCGCGCCGCGCGTCGTCGTCCAATCCGCGGCGGCCGTCCTCCTCCTCCTCGTCGTCGTCGCCCGCGGCGCGCTTCGCGAGCGGGGCGGCGGCGTCGCGCGACCGCGGCGACGGGAGCGGCTCGCCCCGGCGGCGGCGCCGCTCGACGACGCACCACGTGAGAAGGTTCGCGCTCGACGCGGCCACGTCCAACGCCTTCTCGCAGAGGAGCACGGGCGGCACGCCGACCGACAAAGCCCAGGCGCCCGCGGCGAGGCCCGAGAGCCACCAGCCGACCGCGTGGACCGCGACCGGTTTTCCCGGCCCGGTGCCCGCGAGGATTGGCGCCAAATCGCGCGCGCGCGCGGCCTTGTTGACCAACCCAAGCGCGAGCGCGACGGCCTCGGGGAGCCAGCGGCACCGGCCGCCAAGGGCGCCGTAGGAGCCCGCGAGCACCGCGGCGCTCGACGCGGCGACGGCGACGCGCATGCGCTCGCGCACGCGGCGCCGCTCCTCGAGGCCCAGCGCGCAGGCCATGATCACGAGCATGACGGGCACCTGGCAGCCGAACTGGAGCCACGTCCCGAAGGCGCTGCCGTCGCCCGCGGGCCGCGCCAGCGCCGCGACGACCCACGCCAGGGCCGCGAAGCCCATGGTCACGGACACGACGGGCGTCGCCGCCACCGCGTGCTCCGACTCCGCGAGGTGCGCGCGCAGCGTCGGCAGCAGGCAGGCGACGTACCCGACCGACGCCGCCGTGCAGAGGACGTCCGAGAGCATGCTGGTCATCGGGCGACGACGACAGCAGAATACACCTGAACCTGTGAACTTCAGATGAAGAAAGTCCACGTCGGTTCGGAACTTTGCTGGAAACTTCTCTTCAACTTAGCGGGCAGCTTCGGATGGAATGATGATGGAGGAGTATATATAGCTGCGATCCACGATGAGCGACGACCGCTTCGCCGACGCGACGGCGCGCCTCGTCGCCCAGGACCCGTCGCTGACGTCGCTCTCCCTCGCGACGCGTAAAGACATCCCCGACGCCGTGCTCGCGGCGCTGGCGGCGAGCGACCACTGCCGGACGGCCCACCTCGAGATGACGGCCTTCGACGACGGGCGCTGCGAGGCGCTGCGCGAATTCGGTCTGCCGGCGTGCCTGACGGCGCTCCACCTCACGCGGAACGCGATCTCGTCGACGGGCGCCGCGGCGCTCGCGGCGGCGCTCGCGACCGCGCCGGCGCTCCGGAGCCTGCACCTCGGCGGCAACCCGCTCGGCGCCGGCCTCGGCCCCCTCGGGGCCGCCGCCGCGGGCCTCGACGTGCTCAACATCTCCGAGACGCAGGATCTCCTCGCGGGCGCGCCGGGGATCCTCGCGCTCGCCGCGGGCCTCGCGGCGCGGCGCCGCGCGACGGGGAGGGTATTGGCACAGCTCCACTGCCACGGCAACGGCGTCGACGACGCCGCGGCCGCGGCGCTTGCGCCGCTGCTCGCGGCCGCGGGCGTCCGCGAGGTCTACCTGGGCAAGAACCTCGTCGGCGACGCCGGCGCGGCCGCGCTGGCGGCGGTCGCGGGCGGCGCCGGCGGCCCGCGGAAGCTGTCGCTCCTCGGGAACCGCGTCGGCGACGCCGGCGCGGCGAGCTTCGCGGCCGCGGTCGCGCGCGACCCGCCCCTCGAGCAGCTCAACCTGAGCCACAACGACCTCTCGGACGTTGGGCTTCTCGCCATGATCCGGGCCGCGCCGCGCAACGGGACGCTGCGGAAGCTCGACGTCGGCGTGAACCGCCGCTGCTCCGACGGCGCGAAGCGCGCGCTGCGCCTCCTCTTCGACCCGTCCGCCGTCGCGGCGCGGCGCTTCGTCGCCGGCGCGCTGCCCCTGCTCCTCGCGCACGCGCGCGACGCCGACGGCGCCGCGGGCCGCCGCGTCCGGAGCCTGCCGCGCGCGGTCCTCCTCGCCATCCTCGACCTCGCGCGGCCCGGCCCCTTCCCCCGCATAGGCTGACCCCCTTATAAATATATTTTAACACCGTCATAAATAAATGCCGGGGGCCGGTCGTCGAGCGTGATGACGAACGAGTCCGCGACGACGGCGAAGGACGGCGCGAGCGGCGACCGCGCGAGCCACGCCTCGACGAGGAGCGCGAGGTCCGCGAGGCTCGGGTAGCAGCCGAGCTCCGCGTCCGCGGCGCACGCGTCGAAGCCGCGGAACTCACCTACGGTTGCGTTGTTCGGTTTCGTGTGTTCGTTCACCGACGCCGGGAACGCGCGCGCGTCGTCGACGACGACGACGCTCCGCCGCCGGTCGTCGACGGGCGCGGCCCAGTGACCTGCGAAGATGGCCTCGAGCTCCTCCACCACGGGCTCTCCGGCGCGCCCG